CAATGGGAGTCTTTGACCACTGATTTAATTGTAGACCAGGACATCACCCTCAAATATATATATATATATATATATATTTTTTTTTAATTTTTTTCTCCTTGTTTGCTCCTTCTTTCCATGGGTTAAACCCACTTTTGGCATAAGTGGCCATAATTCCAGTGGTGAATTTGATCTCATATGCACCCATTAGCACTAAGAGGAAAAGGGTGGGTATGCAGAGACTAGAATACAGAACGGTTCATATAGTTCAATATACAACTGGGCACTAAAAAAACTGCAGTCCTCTCCAAAGCAGTTTAATACATGAAATGAGCTTGTGTTTTGTAAAGTCCACCTTGAAGATCATTCATTGCAATTTAATTTATTTAGATGATCATTTCACTTCATGTGTATGAGGTAACCAGGGCTAAATTAACCCAAAGGCCAAAAAGCTCAGGTATTCATTAACTCAATCTACCTACGTATTGTTACTAGAGCACATACTGCAAAAAAAATTCCACAAATATTTATTCAAACTTTTTGATTAGTTCACTTTGGCCCCATTTGCTTCCTGTGAAAATTTGAGCATTTGAGTTTTACTGGCCCAGGAGTTAATGGAATGGGGATTTTAAATGTATGATTATTCTCAGAAACTAAATTTTATATTTGCACATGCAAGCATTTGCTGACCCATGGTCTGGCACTAACTAATAAGCTCAAATAGTGACAGCCAACTATCATCAATCCACATTTACAAATATTCAAAGAAGAAGTCAAATATTTTTGAATATTGGATAAATTTGAGGGAATCATGATCTGCTAACAAATATTCCATGAACGGAAGTAGAGGCTCAATTTTTAGATAAATCATTGCAAATTATTTCCTCATCTCTAGTTAGAACAATGTTAATACAGTAGAAACCATCTTCAGGTTATTCCTCTAGTGAAGTTTAATGATTAAAGCAACAGAGGGTCCTGTGGCACCTTTAAGACTAACAGAAGTATTGGGAGCATAAGCTTTCGTGGGTAAGAACCTCACTTCTTCAGATGCAAGTAATGGAAATTTCCAGACGCAGGTATAAATCAGTATGGAGATAACGAGGTTAGTTCAATCAAGGAGGGTGAGGTGCTCTGCTAGCAGTTGAGGTGTGAACACCAAGGGAGGAAAAACTGCTTCTGTAGTTGGATAGCCATTCACGGTGTTTGTTTAATCCTGATCTGATGATGTCAAATTTGCAAATGAACTGGAGCTCAGCAGTTTCTCTTTGGAGTCTGGTCCTGAAGTTTTTTTGCTGTAAGATGGCTACCTTTACATCTGCTATTGTGTGGCCAGGGAGGTTGAAGTGTTCTCCTACAGGTTTTTGTATATTGCCATTCCTGATATCTGACTTGTGTATGTGACTCCAGAACTCCATCTTG